TTAAAGACCCAGATCCCAGGGCGGGGTGGGCATCCCCGGTACCGGGGCTCCCGAGCCTCTGACTCACACTCCGCCCGGCGGCTGCTGCGCGTTCTGGGTGTCCCGTCGTGTCGTCACTGCGTGTGTGTGTGTGTCCCCACCCCGCCCTGGGATCTGGGTTTTTAAGGGAAGAGCTGCATCTGTCGAGCCCGATGATGCAGATGGGTTACGGGAAGGATGGATGTTCGGGTGACCTAAATATTACGTGCTGTACAATTGCCTGGCGGTCCAGGGCTGCCTCCGGGGTCCGTTGTGGTACGCGGCTCGGGTAGGGGTATCCAGGGAGTTGAATCGACACGTGGTGTTCGTTGCAGCCGTTGCAGAAGCGACAGAGAACCGTGGAGGATTTCAACCAGTTCTGCACCTTCGTTTTGGCCTACGCGGGCTACATCCCCTACCCTGAAGAGGTAAGTTGGCTTGCAGGGTTTTCCTCTACAAAACGACTGGTTCCTCTGGGTTTCCTGCCGTGTGCAGACCCAGCTCCTAATCCTTCCCCTGGAGAGTCTTTCTCCATCCCCAGCCCCTTCCTCCTTACCCTGAATGCCTGTGCTGCAGCCTCCCACGCTAGTCCTGCTTCTTCCCCTCTTGCAGAATGAGCCCTGGACCCACGGAGGCAGCATGAGTCCCCAGAACAGCACGGGGAGCACTCAGGACAGCGACAGCTGGGCCTCGTCCCACTCCTCCGACTGCCATGTCCCGACGGAGGACGGGAGGAGCAGGAACGCCATGGCCAGGGGGGCTGTGGACAGCAGCCTGCTCGTGAGCTGCCCTGCCTTCCCCACCGGTTTCTATGATGTCCGGCCCCAGCAAACCAAACGGAAGAAACCACCAGCAAAGAAACTTATTTTGGAGCAGGAGGTGGAGAAGAGGGTGCCGCTGAGCACTGGGAAGAGCTTTGGGGCAGAGCAGGATGGGGCAAAGGAGCTGGCTGCACTGGAGGGACAGGTGCCTCCCGTGAAAGAGCAGCTCTTGGAGCCTTCCCTCAACCCAGCTGGGGACCCCCAGCCCAACTCCCTCCTGGAGGAGCTGATGAAGGAGGAAAAGGACTGGATGCACGGAGCGCAGGGGACCGAGAAGCCAGCAGCAGATGATCCTCAGCTACAGGAGCATGAACCCTGCTCTGGAGGGAGGAAAAGCCCCAGTTCTTGTAGTACCTTGGACCAAAGCGAAGGAGAAGACGCAAGCAGAGGGAGTTCCCAACTTAATGGTGAGTGTCCACACACACCCTGCTGCGCTTCAGCCAGTGCTGACTGTTCTCCCTCCCTCAGCTGGAACCCCCCATGCTGGCTGCAGGGAGGGCTTGTCGATGGCCTGAGCCTCTCCCGGCAAGGACAGTACCTTTGGGACCGGGGGGACTGACGAGCAGAGGGCAGGGAGCTGGCCTGCCTTTTGGCAGCTCTGCTTTGCAGAGTGAGCAGTGCAGAGCTGAAATGTGTCTGAAGTGGGGTATAAGCTGTTTTTTTTTTTTTTTTTTTTTTTTTTTCCCCTCCCCTTTTGCAACTTTAGCAGTCGAATTTGCAGCAGCTCCCAACACCAAAGCAGAAGGTGAGTGGGGGGGCTGTCACATTTCACACCAGTGGAACTGGCTAGTCTGGCCACAGCTGGACCTGCGGCTGGTAAGGTGGTTTCTGACTGGTGTCTCTCTCCCTGACCAGATGACGATGCCTGGGATCTGATCACCTGCTTCTGCCTGAAGCCCTTCGCGGGGAGGCCCATGATCGAATGTAACGAATGTGCTACCTGGATCCACCTCTCTTGTGCCAAGATCCGCAAATCCAACGTGCCTGAGGTTTTCATCTGCCAGCGATGCCGCGATGCCAAGCAGGAGATTCGCCGCTCGAACCGAGCTCGGACGGTGCCCCGCAAGCGCTTCTGTGACTGAAACTCCTTCAGAGCAGGGAGGCTGGGGGTCCCCTTTTTAAACCGAAGACTGTAGCCCGGTTTGGCTAGACAATCAATGCACAGTAATGGCAGGGGAGGGGCTGGGCCACGGGGCTGGACTGTCCCCCTTGCTCTTCTGACTCCTGGAAGCTGCCACACGTGTCCTCCCTGGGGACGGTGTTGGCCGTGGAGCTCAGTTACCCCAGAGGTGATGGGGGGAGAGGAGGGTGGTCCAGCCGTGCACTAGGTCGCTCGGAAACATCTCTGTCCTCGCACGAAGCTGGCTCAGTGCCTTTCCCCAGGGCAGCCGAGGAGAACCTAGTCCAAGTAGTTTTTCTGTGGTGTGGTGGAAGCTTACACTTATCCCAAGATGTGACTCCCCTTCCTCCTTTTTCCTCACTGTTTATCCTTTCCTTGCCTCAGACCTTCAGGTGGGTGGCAATGGCAAAGCCACCTGGTGACCCAGGTTCTCCTCCAGCAAGTAGGTACAGCCCAGGCAAGCTCCCTCCATGTAGTGTGCCACTCTCCAGGGCGGGAGGGAAGAGGCGTCGGTCCTGCTGATGCCTGAAACAGACCGGGGCTCTGCGTCTTGGGGGTACTGCTGGAGCTGTCCATCTCTGGCTCATCAGCCTCGTTGGCTGTGCAGGGCAGGTCCTTCCCCTGGCCCATGGTGCTCCTGGTTTCATTCGCTGGGCCCATGGTCCCACGATAGTCCTGTTGAGTCAGGAGCAGCAAAGGCATCCTCTAGTAAATGATTACAAAGGCTGTTCTTGCCGAGCAGCCCTCCTTGGTTCATGGTCTTCAGTGACACTGAGGTGTCCAGTGTGAAGGGTGGTGGGATTCCTGGCAGGAGACTGAAGTTATCCTCAGAGCTGGCTGTGGCAGGGCTGGGATCCCTTCGGAAGGGAAGCAGGAGAGTGTTCTGGGTAGCTTTCCATGTTTTCCACTTCCAGTTTAAAACAACTGAAGTTTGTACCCTGTGGGCATCTGCCTGCAGGGCTGTCTGGTGGAGCATCAGCTTCAACACCAGCTGGATGCTGAGACCTGAGGCCAGGAGCTGGGAGGGCCTGGCTTCCTAGCGCTCCCTCTGTCACATAAGTGGGTTTGGGTTTTTTTTCTGGACATGTAGAGTGAAACCTAATGACTTGTCAAGAGTGGGCTTTGAGCCCCTTCTGCTATGCAACTGCTGCTCTGGAGACACAGCATGTGCCCTCTCCAGGCCCCTGGTTCGGTTTGGCAGTGGAAGGCTTTTCCCCCTCCATGTCCCCTGTGCGTAGCATGTGTGTGTGTGCGCGCGCGTGTGTGATTTCCTGGGGCCCCGTCTGCACTAACCATTGGATCCCACCTTCTCCTCGCAGCCCCTCCAAAGAGCCTGGCCCATGTGCCTTCTGCACTTTCCCTGGGGGACTCAGACCCCACTCCTGTCCCAGTGACGCTGGGTCCTGGTGTGGCACTGCTCACAGCAAGGAGTGGGACAATCCCCACTTGCCAGTCCCCATGACTATTGTTTCTTAACTGGGTTCTTTCCTACTTGCACATCTGGTTACTCTGGGACCACAGCTGGGGGAGGGTGTGGGGCAGCCCCCTGTCACTCAGCAGCCCCCAGGCAAGTCCCTGTGCCTGCCTCTCTCCTGTGGAAAGCCTGGGCCCCAAAAGTGCTTTATGTTTTTATAGTTACTTTGTATTGATATGTAAAATAGCGAATTCTGGTCCTTGCCCTGTGGAGTGTGGCTGGAGTCTTATGTATATAATAAAGTACTTTTGCCATAACGGTGGTGGCTTGGTGTAGTCTTGCCTCCCTCTGGGACCTGAGTGCTCCCCTTCTGCTGTAGCTGGAAGGGGACCTGGTGTGGGGATCCTGCCCAGTCCTGCTTCCTCCCCCTGCCCCACCCCAGGTAAACACCGAGCTGCACAAACAAGAGAACAAGCAGACCAGCGCATCTTGTATTTAATGGAGTGATGACCGCTTCCCTGCCCTGCTGCAGTACACAGGGATGCTCCACAAGAAGGTCCTCTGGAGGTGCATGGGCCGGGGGACAACCATCTTTGAGGCTGCAGCCAGCTCATCACGGGCTGCTCCAAAGCAGCAGCAGGTCTGATGGCTCGGGGAGGAAGGGTCTCCACACGCTCTTGCTGCGACTCTCGAGGCACATCAGTATTTAGCTCAAAAGCTCTTGGGCTCTGACAAACCTTCCCTGTCTCCACTCTGGAGTAGAACTAACATTGTAGTGTTGACAGCAGTTCAGGTGCCAAAGGATCCAGTTTTCTCCACAAATTAAGTCTGTTATTCCAGCACAGAGGTATCACTGGCTTCCCCTGCAGATCCAGAGGTGTGCCAGCTTCCACCAAGCCGTTGGGTCAAACGGGGGATGCGGTGAAGGACAGGACAAGAAGGCACTGGGGGCCAAGTGCTGGCCTGTCTAGAGCAGGAGGAGGTCAGCGTTTGTGGGGACCCCCTTACCAAACCAGGGTACTGCTGGTACAACGTGTCAGTCCCGAGGCCGTTGTGCTGGGGCAGAGGCAGCGAATGGTCTCAGCAAAACTGGGCATGGTTTCTAGGCTAGGGGCCAAAGCTGGGTTTGTGCAGCCAAGCAAGCATCCAGGTGAGTGAGGTGCAGGGGGGTTCTACTCCTCCTTGGCCCAGACGGAGCCATTTGCCTTCTCCTCCAGGTAGGGAATCACTGCCTCGGTGTAAAACTTCTCCAGCTTGGGCACTGTCTGCCACCAGAACTCAGCGTCAAACTCCACAGGGACCACGGCCGTCTCCTTGGTGGTATGCACCACAAAGTCGGCCCGCTGGAAGTCGGCAGCCGCCAGCTGGCACTGGACCTGGGTGAAGTAGGCATGATCCTTCTTCAGGGCATAGGAGTCCCCATCCAACTCCAGGCAGAAGTCCTTGTCCTTGCAGGCCTCGCGCACCGTCCTGTTCCTGTGCTTGTAGGGACACTTCACCTCCAGCAGCCCCAGGGCCCTCCCCGTGGCCACCTCCTTGATGATGCCGTCCGGGCTGGCAGCGATCCAATTCTTGTCCCGGTGAATGAAGAGGCCACAGTCGTCCACCCACACCGGCTTGCCCAACGCCTGCGACTTCATCTGCTCATAGGCCTTCACAGCTGCCTTCTCTTTGCGGATCCCCCAGGCCATGGCTGCTGTCTGCACCCCGGGGCTGGAGCTCACCACCGCTTTCAGGTAGGACTGAGGCACTTCAGTCGTCTTGTTGTTGGCGAACTTGCTGTTGGCGATCTTGGGAGCCACAGAGGCGGTGATGCGGTTCTCCCGCCACTTGTACCAGTTGGGGTTGTTCCGCTGGCCCCGGGTCTCCTTCTCCACCCAAGGGATGTCCTGTCTCTCCAGGGGGGGAAGGAATTGGCTCCAGGCCTCGCTCGACTCAGCCCCAGGCTGCTGCTTCTGCAGATGTGGGTCAGGTCTGGCCGGACCGGTGGCTCGCTTGGCATCAGGCGGCTTCTTCTGGGTTGCAGAGCAACTCCCAGCAGACACTGTGTGCTGGTCCCCAGCATCTCCTCGGTTTCCACGGGATGATGTGGGTCTCGGTTGAGTGGAGTCTGACTTTGCTCCACGGGATGCTGCGGGTCTCGGCTGAGTGGAGTCTGACTTTGCCCCACGGGATGCTGTGGGTCTTGGCTCAGTGGAGTCTGACTTTGATCCACGGGATGCTGTGGGTCTTGGCTGAGTGGAGTCTGACTTTGCCCCACGGGATGCTGTGGGTCTTGGCTGAGTGGGGTTTGGTTTTGCCCCCTGGCTGGGGCCAGCAGCCTCGGCAGCAAGAGCACTCCTGGATCGGCTGCCCACAGCAGTGGCCTTGGCCGGGGTGGCCGAGGTGGAAGATGGCAATGCAGCGGGGGTGGTTTTGGAGGCAGCTGTGGCTGGCTGAGGGGATGATGTGCTGGTGGGATCCTTCCTGGGTCTCCCCATCACTATGCGTCAGAGGGTCTCGTGCTGTGGGTATGGAATAAAGTTGAATGCACATCCCCAAAACACAAATTTCCGTTTCCTTTGTCCTCCCTGCAACTGCCTGTATCAGATTTGCACGGCAAGGTTTTGGTATCACGGGGACTATGGGGGTGGCTTCTGTGAGAAGTTGCTAGAACCTTCCCTAGTGCCTGATAGAGCCAACGCGAGCTGGCTCCAAGATGGACCCGCTGCTGGCCAAGGCCGAGTGCATCAGTGACTGTGGTACTGTCTCTGTGATATCATATCTAGGAAGAGAGGAAAAAATAAACTGTGCAAGGACAACTGCAGCTGGAGAGAGGAATGAAAATATGCAAGAGAAACAGCTCTGCAGACCCCAAGGTCAGTGCAGGAGGGGGAGGAGACGCTCCAGGCCCGGGGCAGAGGTTCCCCTGCAGCCCGTGGGCAGCCCACGGTGAGGCAGCTGTGCCCTGCGCCCAGGGAGGCCCCGGGGGAGCAGAGACCCCCCTGCAGCCCGGGGAGGGCCCCACAGCACAGCAGGTGGGTGCCCAGAGGAGGCGGTGACCCCGTGGGAAGCCGACACTGGAGCAGGCTCCTGGCAGGGCCTGTGGCCCCGTGGGGAGAGGAGCCCCC